TTTATTAGCCTACAATTATTAATGAGAAGCCATAAGAAAGTCAGCAATATTGTGCTGATTTACTTTGTGGCTGCCATCTGGCACCTAGTTATGTCCATGCAGATTACATAAATTGCAAGCATGGGGCATGTTAGGAGTTATTGGCTTTTTTCTGTCTTCATATAAATAGGATTGCACCCTCGATTGCTACCTCACCCTTTGATTCCATTGAAAGCAGTGGGAGCTTCTGGTCTTGATTGATTTATCCCTTCAATTTCAATGGGATTAAAGATTGATTAATTTAGTCTGGATCCAGCCTAACATGTGAAAGAAAACTAGGAGGGACTTCCTCCTTGCCTTTTGCCTTTTCTTGATTATAACTCACTTTTATTGCATCTCAGAGCTTTTTAAAAAGGATCTATTCTTAACTATTTGAATTTGGAATATTTGGTTTGTTTCATTACAACTTTTTTTTAATAAAGATTTTTATTAAAATTTTAAACTAAAACCTAAAAACATCAATCATCAAATACATCGGACATACTGGGTCAGCCCCCTATAACATATCTTTTTAACATTCTATAATCATATTCAAATCGATTTATAAAAATTTAAAAACATCTTTAAATCTAAGCCAAGTCCCGTTTCTCCAGCCAATCATAAAAAAGGACCCAGGTTTGACAGAAGTCAGTATCTCCTTTCTCCTTCAGTAATAGAGTCAATCTGTCCATTTCTGCACAGTCCAGAATCTTTTTTGAGATCAGTTTCTCAGTGGGTAATTCCTCACTCTTCCAGTACTGAGCAAGCGCAATCCTCGCCGCTGTGATTAAATGTAGCATCAAATACATTTCTTGTTTGCTAATATTTTCTGGTATAATGCCTAACAAGAAAATTTCAGGTTTAGGCATTACAACTTTTATTACATTTCCCAATGTGGCTGCAAGCCAGTACTGACCTTACTTCTGAATACATATGTGTAAAAATGCATGGTCAGTGTTTTAATCTTGGCAGTGCTTTCTGATGTTGAAAAGATATATTTTCTACTGTCTGATCAGGATAAATGCATTATTTACAGTCCATTTTTGTTTGTTATTGCACAGGAAGTCAGAAGCATACACTTCCATTTGATGGCAGCACATTGTTCTGATAATGCCTATTTATCTTGAGCTTTGGAGATAAATCTTAATATTTATGAAAGATAATAAAGTTTATTTAAATAAAATCCTATGTCCACACAGAAATTAGCCTGACTGACCTCAATATGACTTATTCCCTTGTGTACAGGATTATGGCCAGCATGAATCTGTAGCATATTTTATAAGCTATATGTTGCTTTTGAGCACTTTTCCCTGTTAGTTCCCTAAGAATAACAATAAAATTATGGGATGTAACCTTTACTGATGAACAAATAACATATGATTTTGATAGTGACACATTACACAGCACTCTTATTATATTTTGACCCCTAATTACTTTCCCTTGGAGAGTACTATCTTTATTAGTGAGGCTTTAAGGATTGTTGTGAGGGTCAGTAAGGGATATGCTTACTGGACGGAAGTTATGTTTAGCACAAATTCATTAAACTTGAGAAAAGATGAAGGCTTTTATTTAAGAAGAACTTTGTTTTCTGTAAAACAGTGGCCAAAGTCAGTGATGATCTTCTCACAGCATTAAACACATAACAGTTCTGATTCTACCTCACTGAGAACCTACACATTTTTACTGTTCTTGACACAGATAAACCACAATAACTTGTACTGAAATTGGAACTCATGAGAGATAATAACTTGCCTCCTCCTCACCAGACCAAAGGGAATGTCAGAAAAGTCACTGCAGCGATGAGAGGTGGATACAGATGAGCCGATGGCTGGGGACCCTTCATACCCTCATGCCCAGGCCTCTGCTCCCTCATGCCTGCTTAACTACCCTTAAAGTGATTTAAGTTTTTCACATGGATGTTGCCAGTGTATATAGTTTCTCTGTGCAGATCGATCCTTTGCTTTAATAACTAACCCTATGTTTCTGAATCTTCCTAAAATTTGAGCTCTTCTAATTCGTTGTGACTTATGCCCACACATTAAAAGGACTTTTCCATCTTTTCCACAATGGATCTTTGCATTTGGTTTTGTACATTGATAGATCTTTCTACATAGATAGATGTAGAAAGATCTACATCTATAGATCAAGGCACTAATCTGACATTGGCCTTAGAAAAGAAATAGAACAGGGATTCTCTGACCCATATTAAAGTCAACATCAGGAAAAACCATTAGAACAAAGCTGCATCTCTGGAACAGCTGTTATCCCCCCACCTCATTCATTGTGAGCTGAAGACTGACCAGTGAGGGGGTGAAGTCGCCATATGCTTCAAGATCCTACAGTTCCCTAGAATTTTGCCAGTCCCAGGTGCCCAAGATATAGAATGATCAAGGATGTAGAATCTGTGGCTCTCTAGATTAAAGGCTGGCAGATAGTAGACCACCAGATATTTGGGATGTCAACTTTGAGCATTCCTGGTCATTGGACATGCTGGCACAAGCTTCTGAGAGTTGAATTCAAACACATCTGGAGTTCTATGTTCTGCCCACCTCTATTCTAGATGTTATTGAAATACAACTCCCATTATTTTTGACAATTGACCATGCTGGCTGGGCTGATAGGAGTTAGTGTTAAGTATTATTTGGAGGGCAGCATCCATGATGCCTGGCTATGTGGGTGTCATATTTATGCATGAAACTCAGTCATCCCTCTGTTTGGGGGCATTTGTATTTACTCTGATCATTTAACCTACAGAAACTTTGGGTGAACAAATGGCCATCCATAAGAGGTTCCTTAAAGGATATGGATATTGTAAACCTTCCAGAGAGCCACCTGGCTATTGGGCAGTATAAAAATGAAACAAACAAAATTACTACAATCTCTCTTCCTCAGCTGTTTATAGCTGTAAAGTGGAAAGAAAGCTTGAACTATGTTAAAAAAAACTCTGTGAATGAATGTACCAAATTTGAAAAAAAAAGTACCAAAAAGAAAAAAAAATGGTTAACATTATTTGTGGCTATGTTCCTCCCTCATTATTCAGATTCTAGTTTGTTAGAGGGCTTTGGCTACAGTCATCTAGTACACACTTACCTGGGAGTAAGTCTCAGTGAAAATTAGTCAATTAATTTTTGTGATTTGATTTTACTTGTATAACAGATGGGGCCTCAGATATTTGTCATATTGTATATTAATGCAGGCAGGAAAGGAAATACTGAAAGCTTTATGATAATTTATCTATTCTAAGTGATTTGTGAAAGCTTTAAAGAAAATATATACTTTAAAATAATTTTGTACTATTTGTTGCCATGGTTTGGAACGGGTTAATTTGGAATTGATGAGCTTTTCCTTATTAACAGTTAACCTACTGTATATACTGTTAGTTTCACAGTAGACCTGAGATCCAAATGCTATCCATGCAGCCTTTCTTTTCCTTCTCTTTTGCTATCTAACCTCTAGGCAACATTGTGGGATAGTGGAACAGCAACAACACACAGGTGAAAAAGCACTTTCTTTTGCTTTAGGAATAATACTGAATTTTCCTTGCTCAAACCTGCCTTCCTAGCACTTTCTGAAAGCACTTTTTAAAAACAGTAGAGAAATGTGCCTTCTAAAGAACCCAAGAAGAACCATGAGAATGTTGAATGTATAGTACATGCCTCTGTTCAAAGAACAAAGGCATGACAGAATGTAGAAGACGTCAGTTAGAAACAGGGAGATTGTCCTAGCTTTTTAAAAGGTGTATTTTCTTGTCTTATGGAGGAAGAATTGTTCTGCTGATGTTACCTGGGCCAAAGCTGTTTTGCAGTGAGAATGGTTTTTGATTTTGGAGCAGTAAGAGCCCATGTGGCAAATGGGGATCTGGTGGCTGCTACAGAACCACCTGGGCCAATGCTGAAAGTGATTGTGCTTTGGGTCTCTTTTGTAATTGCCACAGGACTTTGGTTTATGATGTTTGTGGCAAGTTCATCCCTGGACACATGAGGATGACCTTATTCAATATTTTGCGGGGTGTGTGTTTTTTTAGCGTGTAATATTAAATCTTGTGCCATTGTCCAGGCATGTGAGTAGGGTTAACTGCCTGGGTTGTAAGCAGAAATACTTGGATTACTCTTGAAACTACCCTGGAAGGACCTTATCCTTAAAGGGCCAATAAAATGTGTGGTGGTGGGGGGGAGAGAGTGACTTTTTAATGGTGGCACCCTTACTGTGCACTGTTTCCCTAGCAACTATTTTGGTGACATTTTAGCCCATCCTTTTAATCTACCATACACTCTATGGTGGTATGCTACATAATAAATTCTTGTTGTTTCAGCTCATGCATTTTAAACAAATTGATTTCTTGTGGTCAGCTGCCCTGAGAACTATGCTGAAGGGTGGCTTATAAATACCCTAATGAAATAAATCAATATAATACATCAATAACAAATCAGTTTGCTTTCAAGCAGAGACACAAGGTGAAGCTGCCCCTTCAGCCCTCTCTCCTCTGCGCCCGTTAGTTGGAGAAGCTCTCTAAATCCATCCATCCTTGTCTGTTTGCTCTTCCATGTGTGCAAACGAACGATCAACCATTGGGAATCTGTTCTCAATAGAGAACACATTCCACTCTCAGCGTCTTTCTCTGCTCTTCTCAAGCTCCTTTGGCCACACCCCTTCGGGCTGGCGATTGGCCGCGCGGGTTCCCATCACAACGCTTCTCCACCGCTAAGTGGCTCGTCCTGGCGTCTATCAGCGTTTGTCTGTCAAAACAATTCTGGCTCTGTCACAACAGAGAAGAGTAAGAGCGGCGGCACTTCCTGCTCGTTGGCGGGCTGCACATTGCTCCGAGCGGTTTCCTTCAGCGTTGTTCTCGCAGGCAACGCATTCGCGCACCCAGGGATGCGCATCTCGAGCTCCGGCGAAGACGCATCAGTTTGATTGGCGCGCCCGTGTGTGTGTGTGTGGAGGGGGAGCCAGTTTGCAATTCTCTGCAGTCGCAGAACTCCTTCATTGTCCAAGTTTAGCGCTTTCCTGCCCCTCCCCTGCTGCCGCTATCGCTTCCACCGAGCCGTGCATAGGCTGAGCGAAGCCAAACGGAGTTTTAAGCATACACGAGCACAATGACTCTCGCTGAGAAACTTGCTGCTGCGGTGCAATAAATGAGGGTCTGGCGAACGGGGCTTCCTCTGCCTTTCCCCTCTTCGCGGTGGCCTCAAGCAAGCCGAGAGTGCGCTTTGTGCGGCGGAAAGCGCGATGGCAGAAGCCGCGGACACCCGCGCGGCGGTTCTCAAGGGCGAGGAAGACGCGGAGATGTATTTGGAGCCCGGATCCTTTGAAATGCCGCCGGCGGCTATGGGAAGGAGAAGGGAGCGAAGGAGCGGAGTTTCTCTGGCTGTGGCCGCCGCCGATCCTGAAGCCAGTCTCCTGGAGGCGGCCCGAGCGACACCCCGGAGGAGCAGTATTATCAAGGTAAAGCCTTCCAGCTTGAGGGTTGCCTAGTTCAGTGATTGATGCGCACGTGACATTAGTCCTAAATGGCGTACACGCGTGTAAGCGGAGAGAGTGAAACACTCTCTCAAGCCGTGGTTTAAAGGTTGCAGCGCTGACCTGGGCAAAGGGGCTGTTGTTGTTCATCGCCCAAAAGATGCGCGCTAGGGCGCGTTCCTGTTTTTAAGGCGACGACCGGGAGCTGACAGCACACTGCGCGTGTAGCGGAGCTGCGACGGGCGTGCCCACCATAAGAAGCTGCAAGCTCACAGCTTCGGGAGGAGGTGAGCTTGAATGGAGAAGAGGTGGAAAAGGGGCATCCGACATGGTGGGGCTTATCCCTCTCACACTGTGGCGATATTCCAAAGGAGCACTAGAAGTCTCGGATGATGAAGATGTTGGGAGACTTTAGTGACGTCCCTCACCAAAATGTTGCTGCTGTTGCGTGGAGTTTAAAGTTTTATTTTGACATCCAGCTTTATGTGGAAGATGCTGTTAGGGGGCGGGGGCGGCGGAAAGGCGTCGCAGTGGTTTCTGTAGCGCCTAAAGCAGAAGATTTTCAGTCTGGACAACTAACACCTGTTCCGCTGATTGCCGCTGGAGAGATGGCTGATCTCATGGTCCATTCTCTTTGTTGCATCCAAAGATATTTAGAATTAAGGCTCTACCCATGAAACGTGGTCTATCTGTTTCAGCACGTATTGTTTACTCTCTGTACTCACTCTTAGGGAGACTATTGGTAAATAATAGGCAACCCTCTTGGTGTCTCCAGTGAGGAGTGATGGTGTTTGGTCCACTAGTTATGAATATTATGTTATCTGGCCAATTTTGCTGCAATCCTATGGGTCTGATCTATTGAGAAAGTTTGAATGCTTTTCCTACCCATGCTTAGAATTACACACACTCTTCATACTTGTGTTCTGTGGAGTAAGCTAGATGCCAGTATGAGATGGATTGACTCCATAACGAAAGCCACAGCCTTGAATTTAGAAGAGCTGAGCAAAACGATCACAGGACATTTTGGAGAGCTCTCACTCACAGGGACGCCTTAAGTTGGAGACAGCTTGACAGCACATGGCAGCAGCAAACTACACAATCTCAGAGGTTAACTGCTCTGTCACATGCCAGTATTGCTACTTTTGGAACAGCTCAGGTGAGCCATGCAGTGCTCTAAACTGGATTATGAAAAGTATTACATTGGGATGATCACATTAAACTAATTCATTCTGTCTAGAAGAGCAGTTACACCAGATCCTGCATCCGTCCATGTATATGCTGTAGCCCTTTCATTACTTGACGACTTGAAGTCCTTAGAAGAACTGTTGTATATGTGGTTTCAAATCCATTTTAAATTTTAATTCAGCTTTACTATTAGGGAAGCAGGTAGATGAAGGAATGGAAGAATCCTGCCAGTGGAATTTTCATCTGGAAATCATCAGTGTCTGTTAGATTTTTACTCAGCAGAAAAACACTTTTAGACGGTGACATATGTATAGGGATGATTGAACATGAAGATCTGCTTTGTTTAAAATGCTGAGAACTGAAATGGAATAATGTTTCTGTAAAAATTGAAGAGGAAAAGAAATATGTGGGTTAAGATCACTAGTTCCCAGCTTTATCTTTGAAAGAATCTTTGACTTTGTGTGGTAAGGAAGAGATAAACTAGATTCTTGGTTTTGTTCATTAAATTTTGACAATTTGCAAAGTAATGATTCACAGGCACTTTCTCTCTTCGCTGACTGCTAATCTGCCATTGTGTTGAACATATGAGTACAGGAGAATTTTTCAGTTGGTTGGCCAGCTAGCCAACTAGTCTGGGCAAGAAACTAAAGAGGAAATGCAGCTGTCATGTCCATTTCCAGTTAATTACCATCAACAAGGCCCCCTCCTTCCTTCATTAGAAAGACAGAGGTGAAATCATCCATGCTTAATGCTATGTGTTATCTATGCAGAAACATATGCACACATCTGAGATTCAGCCATGTATCAAATAGCTTTCATACAGAATTAACCATTATCACTTTAGTGAAATTGATCCTATCGTGTAACATAGAAATGGAGCAAGTCAGAAGGGGACTCCCAGGCCATCTAGTCTGACCCCCTGTTCCAGCCGGCTCCACTCATGACATGCCTACCTTGTGCATGCCCAGCCTATCCTTGAACATCCTCACTGATGGGGCTTCAACCAGCCCATTTCATGCCCTAGGGGTCCTAACCATCAGGAAGTACTTCCTATCATCTACCTTGAATTGAAACAATTATTCAGAAATTTATTTTAGCTTTTCAATAGCTTACCTGGTAGAATATTCAGCTAGGCTGTATTAAATGTTTTACATTGAATTTATGGTTGGGTGATGTTTTCTCAGTTGAACATTATAAGAAATTGGAAGGGGCAGATAGGGGAAATAACCTGATCTGAAAAATGAAAGTTGGATGATTCAAAAGAATGAAAATTCAACTTAAAGTGATAGCTTATATATTTCTGTTTCTTGGTCTTTTTATTTCCTTTTATTTAGAAGCTTAATTAGATGCTGGGACACTCCATACAGGTTACCAAGTGGTATCATGGTTGTGTTAATCATTATGCAAAAATGGACATCTTTGCTGTCACCCTGCCACTCTCAGCCATGTAACACTTCGTTGTTTTTACATTTAAAAATGTGCTCATGGCCAGTAATTTAAATGAAAACTGAAATGATATGCTATGAACAATGCTGCTTCTGGAATTGATGGGTTATGAGAAATGCTGATTCTGTATGTGAACTTTTTCTTTTGGGATGATTCTTTAGACTACAAGTAGTCAGTAATATTTTTTTAATCACAGAAGGAACAGCACCTGCATTTAGTACAGGTAATAAGTAATGTTCCCTTCTCTTTACAAAAAAGTAGGTTTGTTAATGATCAAGTCACAACAGATAGAATATTAGATGTGATGATCTTCAGTTGCTAAGGCTGCAGACCTATGTATGGCACTGAACATGGTTTGTCTTCTGGATGAACATGCATAGGATTGCCCATAACAATATTTTCCCTGGATAGAGAGTAGGATGTTGGTAGAGTTGTCATGTTGAGGGATATGAAACAGCCATTTCCCAAAGACTCATGGGCTCTGCTAGCATAGTGGTTAGAGTGGTTGGATGCAGCACCAGTGTGATTAACCATTCAGTGAAGTTGGTGAAGGTGGGCACTTTTCATCTGATGGACTTATCTAGGTTGTCAAGGGATCTGGTTGTGAGCTGCCTTGGGCCTGGTGGTTTAAATGGATCAACAAAACAAAAGTATTCCTGGTTCTTCATTGTTTGCTACTGTCTGCTGTCAGACTGTTATTGCTAATTTTGTAGGGTGTTTCAGAAGATCTGTTAAAAGTCATGTTTCTGCCAATTGTTTGAGTTAGCTTCAATTCTTGCTTGACCTTCAGATTCAGGATGTTAATTTCAGTATTGTTAAGGCTGTTGGCAAACACATTTTGTGAAGAATCAGGATTCTTTTTGATGTTGGTAAGCTTTTTAAGAGTGCAGAGATACATTGTTCTGAATAGAATATTTATTAATATTATTATTCTTGGAATCAGCTCCCTCAAGAATTCCATTGACTCACTCTTTTGGCTTTTACATAGGGTGTAAAGAAATCATTTTGATTTTAAGTTACAAAGTTTTAATGTTCTGTTGTTTGCAATGTTCTTTTTAATCATGCTAAGGTTTTATTCTTTTAAATT